ACTGCCCACTTCTATCTCCTTCCCAAAATCCACAAACCTGAATGCCCTGGTCGACCCATTGTCTCCGCCTGCCCATGACCTACCGAACTGATCTCCAACTATCTGGACTCCATTTTCTCCCCCTTGGTCCAGGAACTCCCTACCTATGTCCGTGACACCACCCACGCCCTCCACCTCCTCCAGAACTTCCATTTCCCCGGTCCCCAACACCTCATCTTTACCATGGACGTCCAGTCCCTCTACACCTGCATTACCCATACAGATGGCCTAAAGGCCCTCCGCTTCTTCCTGTCCCGCAGGCCCGACCAGTCCCCCTCCACTGACACCCTCATCCGCTTAGCCGAACTCGTCCTCACTCTCAACAAATTCTCTTTCATTTCCTCCCACTTCCTACAGACAAAGGGGGTGGCCATGGGTACCCGCATGGGCCCAAGCTACGCCTGCCTCTTTGTAGGTTACGTGGAACAATCCCTCTTCCGTACCTACACTGGCCCTAAACCCCACCTCTTCCTCCGTTACATTGATGACTGCATTGGCGCTGCCTCGTGCTCCCACGAGGAGCTCGAACAGTTCATCCACTTCACCAACACCTTCCACCCCAACCTTAAGTTTACCTGGACCATCTCTAATACCTCTCTCTCCTTCCTGGACCTCTCTGTCTCCATCTCGGGCAACCACCTAGAAACCGATATTCATTTCAAGCCCACCGACTCCCACAGCTACCTAGAATACACCTCCTCCCACCCACCTTCCTGCAAAAATGCCATCCCCTATTCCCAATTCCTTCGCCTCCGCCGCATCTGCTCCCAGTCGAGAACGCCCTCAACCGTGTCTCCCACATCTCCCGCAACTCATCCCTCACACCCCGTCCATGCAATAAGAACCAAAAAAGAATCCCCCTCGTCCTCACGTACCACCCCACCAACCTCCGGATCCAACGCATCATCCTCCGACACTTCTGCCATCTGCAATCCGACCCCACCACCAAAGACATCTTTCCCTCCCCACCCTTATCTGCTTTCCGGAGGGACCACTCTCTCCGTGACTCCCTTATCCGCTCCACACTCCCCTCCAGCCCCACCACACCCGGCACTTTTCCCTGCAACCGCAGGAAATACTACACCTGCCCCCATACCTCCTCCCTCACCCCCATCCCAGGCCCCAAGAAGACTTTCCACATCAAGCAGATGTTCACCTGCACATCTGCCAATGTGGTATACTGCATCCGCTGTACCCGTTGTGGCCTCCTCTACATCGGGGAAACCAAGCGGAGGCTCGGGGACCGCTTTGCAGAACACCTACGCTCGGTTTGCAATAAACAACTGCACCTCCCAGTCGCGAACCATTTCAACTCCCCCTCCCATTCCTCAGACGACATGTCCATCCTGGGCCTCCTGAAGTGCCACAACGATGCCACCCGAAGGTTGCAGGAACAGCAACTCATATTCCACTTGGGAACCCTGCAGCCCAATGGTATCAATGTGGATTTCACAAGCTTCAAAATCTCCCCTCCCCCTACCGCATCCCAAAACCAGTCCAGCTCGTCCCCGCCTCCCTAACCTGTTCTTCCTCCCACCTATTCCCTCCTCCCACCTCAAGCCCCACCCCCATCTCCTACCTACTAGCCTCATCCCGCCCCCTTGACCTGTCCGTCCTCCCTGGACTGACCTATCCCCTCCCTAACTCCCCACCTATACTCACCTTTACTGGCTCCATCCCCGCCTCTTCGACCTGCTTGTTGCCTCTTCGACCTGCTTGTTTCCTCTCCACCTATCCTCTCCTCTATCCATCTTCTATCTGCCTCCCACTCTCGCCCTATTTATTTCAGAACCCTCTTCCCCTCCCCCTTTTCTGATGAAGGGTGGAGGCCCGAAACGTCAGCCTTTCTGCTCCTATGATGCTGCTTGGCCTGCTGTGTTCATCCGGCTCTGCACCTTGTTGTCCTGTATATTCATTGTGTTGGGACTTTAAACCCAATGTTCTTATTTTTAAAAAAAACAACTTGGACATCTCAGTGCTTTTCTTTATGCAGTATTGTCAACTTGTCCTCTCAATTTTTACCAGTCTATTTGTGTGTAACCTCTGAAAGGCACCTTTCCAGAGCAAAAACCACCATTGGTCGCTGACATTTAATCAACTTTCTAATTGTGATGCCATTTGCCTTTAATGTGCGTGTTTTAGGTTTTAATAACAAACTTTATTTACATTTTTATTAAAACCTTTGATTAATACAAAGTGCTCCATTGAATTTGTCAGACACTATTGGCCTTTTACCACCCTGTGCTGACCGTCCTGAACCAGTTCTGAAGGACAGTCATGTGTGAAGAAAAATCGGAGTTAACATTTCTGTTAACACTGATTTCTCTTCACAGAAGGTGCCAGACCTGCTAAGGTTTTCCAGCAACTTCTGTTTTTATTCCTGATTTACAGCATCCGCAGTTCTTTCGGGTTTTATTCTGAAGGACAGTCATGTTTGAAATAATCAAAATGCTTACATTGTATCATTCTCCACAGATTCTGCTGGAATAGATTTCCAGTATGTGGAATATTTTGTTTTAATTTTAGTGCTATATTAGCAACTTTTCTAGTTACCAATTCATGATTTTTTAAAAAAAAAGCCTGTATAGAGTACGTTAAATCCCCATGTTATTCGACTAAGATTTTCGGAAGATTGTACTCATTAGTTGCACGCCCACTAGTGGCTAGTCAGGTATCTGTAATTTGCAGCTTCTCCTCCCCTGGATGCAAGTTGTTGCTTCTGGGAAAAATTGGATCTACTTTTCTCCTTTTCTCTTTCATGCTAGCCCTTTTAAGGAGGGCATTGGAATTAAAGTAGGCTATTCAGCCCATTGAGTCTGCTTTGCCAGTCAATGAGATCATGGCCGGTCTGATAATCCTGAAATCCACTTTAACTTTGCCCTTGATTCTCTTACTGATTAAGAACCTGTCTACCTTGGCTTTGAATATGCTTAAAGGGTTACAGCCTTCTGCAGCAAATATCACAGATCCACTACCCTTTGAGAGAGAGGGAATTTCACCTCATCTTTGTCTTAAATGTGAATTTCCCTTATTCTGCGATTATGTTCTCTGGTCCTAGACTCCCCACAAGGAGAAGCAATCTTTCTGCATCTATCCTGTCAAATCCACTGAGAATCTTGTATGTTTCAGTAAGATGTAAGAGTGACATACAGGCCTTTATTTTGCTCACAACACATTTTCTTGTACTTACTGGAGTACAAATACCGTGTCTATGATGCCTCTGCTCTGAAACCATTCTGGTTTTCTGGAGGTTTTCTTCCACAGTGGTAGATATTAGCCTGTTTAGATGTATTCTTGTCAGGATCTTCCTGGCAAAGGCAAAAAGGCATTCCCATGGTAGTTTCAGCAGCTGATTTTTCCACCTTATGTTTGTAGAGGATCACAAAAATTGGTATCATGAAGATGCTGTGGAGTCTGCCCTCTTATACAGAACATTAAAAGTCCATGAAGCTTGGTACTTAAGGTAGGGCCACAGTGCTACATAGCTTCAGAAAGAATTCCTTCGATTCTGGAGGTTTTGTTACACTTCATCAGGTTGATGGCAGTTGCACTTTCTCCTACAGTGGGGCTTTCAGCTGATTCTTCATTGACAGGCAGTTGTTAGAGGAGGCTGTTGACAGTATGATGCACTGTGCAGTTGGTGCTTAAAAGTGTTTCAGAGTACACTGAACAGTGATTTATGAATGACTCCACATTGATTGTAGTATCATTCTATCACTGCGCCCAGGAGTTTTGGATTTGATATGCTAGTCCATTGACAGATTTTATAGATAGATGCCAGTGTCAGGGTGTAGTTGCTTTCTTCTTCAAGTGTGATTTGGGATGTTCCTCACTTTGTGATAAAAGGTATTGCATACTTTACAATATTCTGTCTTTGTCTTGGGTGGTATTTGAGCCTGATATGCTGCCCTTTTTTATTGCAAGTAGACCTTGGATTTCCTTATCATTTTCATCCAGCTAGTTCTGGTTCTTCTTCATGCTGGGTCTGACGATCTAGTAGGAATTATCCAGTACTGCTGCTTTGATGTGCTGCCAGAATTCTTCCGCGGTGGAACTTGCAATGATATCAGGGTAATGCTTTATGGTAAGGTTGCTTCAATAGCATCTTTGCAGGATGAAGTTTGCAGGTTGCTAACTTGAAATTTCTTTGGGTTAACTTTAGTTTTGTTGTTGGTATTAGACTTGAAATGGAAGTTCACCCTTGAGCATCTGAGCCAGGGGTCTAAATGACAGGCAGTACTGGGCATGATTTTAGCATGCAGCATATCTGTTAGATCATGCTGGTTTTGTAAGTTATAGTCATTGTTAACAATGTTTAGAGCATAGAATAATCTATGTGGTCTTGATATGATCTTTTCTGTTTAAAGGTGGTATTGATTACAGGCAGCTGCCTTGCTACAGAGTTCCAAAAGTGGACATCCGTTTTCATTGAAGTTTCGAACTGCAAGGTTTCCAAGCACACCCTTTTATGCCTGATAGTCATGGCCAGCTCTCGTGTTGAAGTCATCAAGGTTGACAATTTTGACCTTGGGAGGGAGATTCTAGTTAAGTTACTGGAAATCTGTGTAGAATTTATCCTTATCAACTCAAGTAAATTACAGGGTTGGAGCATAAATGCTGATGAGATTCCTGGGTGTCCTTGGAGAGAGAGCATGCCTACCAATAGTTTTGATGCTTTTAGAGAGAGAGGGGCACAACAGAAGGTAGAGTGTTTTATCTCCTCTTCCAACTCCACTTTGATATAGCCCACTCCCCCTCACCTTTGGTGGTTTGATTTGCCTTATTTATTGTCACATGTATTTTGTTACAAAATACAATGAAAAGTGTTGTATTGTGTCACCACTCTCTGGTGCCAACTTAAAACACAGAAAAAAGAAACTAAAACATAGAATGAAGAGGCAGAGGGATAAAAAAGAAAGAAAATGTGTTCATCTTTACAGTCCTTTTGTTAAGTGCTCAGTCATGGGCCTGATGACCAAGCATGTGTGCCTTCACCATAGTACCGCTGATACGAAAGTTGCCACTCTTTGGCGCCATCTTGCCTCCACCAATGCCCTTGCCACTTTGGGTCTTCATTGACCTTGCCAATGCTGGCATCTCTGATGCCTCCAGGTACCGCACTCGACTCTGCTGCCACCATGAGCCCACTTTAGGCCCACCTTACTGCTGCTACTGCCAATGCTGTAGGGCCTTTTATTGGGCCCAAACTAGCCTCTGCCACCATCTTCATGAATCTACGCTGGATGCAGACGCCACCAGGAAGTCAAACTTGCCTTTGCTGCAGCAGCCATGAATCGGCGCTAGGACTGCCTCGGTGATGCAGAACCCGCCAGGAACCCAAAGCCTTTCCAACTCTAGCAGCATCTGTGAAGAAAAAATCAGATTAACGTTTCGGGTCCGGTGACCCTTCCTCAGAACTTATGAGGAGGGGTCACCGGACTTGAAACTGTAACTGAGTTTTTCTTCACAGATGCTGCTAAACCTGCTGAGCTTTTCCAGCAACTTTGTTTTTGTTCCTGATTTACAGCATCCGCAGTTCTTTCGGTCTTTATTTAGTATTTAACTCACTGCCACATCTCTTCTAGGCATGCCCACCTTGAAGAAGTTCTGCTCCTCTCCCTGACGGGATTTCTGTTCCAATCTTTCTTCTTGCCCACTGACATTAATTTCACTGTCACTCCTGGTGTTTGACGGTGTATTTGCTAAAACTTGTTTCCACAGCGTCACATGCATACTCTCAACCTCTCTCTCATCATGTTGGCTCAGGGCTGCACCACTACGCAGGTCCACTTCATCTTCCGGCTCATTTGCTGTGCTAACATGAAACTTTTTCTTTTCCTTTCAGGCATTAAGGCCCAGAAGATGCAACAACTCCAAGAAGTTCTGAGGAAGGGTTACCAGACCCGAAATGTTAACTCTGATTTTTTCCTCGCACTTCTGCGAGACCTGCTGAACTTTTCCAGCAACTTTGATTTTGCTCTCTCCAACTCTGCTGCCTTGACTCCACACTGGGCTCACTGGCTGACTGCCATGAGTCTGTGCTGGGCCTCCTTGCTACTGCCAATTTTGCTGCCACGACTGAGCACTTCAACAAGAGTTAAATAAGATAAAAGATAAAGAAATGGGGAAAAGTGAGAAAAGAGAAAAAAAGAAAAGAAACAAAAAGAAAAATGGATGGAGCAGACAAGCTGAAGGCTCAGAAGCCCTACGCCGTCGCCATCTTACCGGAAGCCAGCTGAAAGCTCTTAGTGGGCTTTGCACGTAATCAGTTGGAAGACATGGGTGATTTACTGTGATGGTTAATAGATGGACAGAAAAAAACTGCTGATTTGGTGATTGTCAAAAAACATTCATTTGTGTGTAAGAGAGCTGCTGGATATAAAAGAAAGAAAACAAAAAAGCTGATGAGAGTTGTATGATGCCGGTCTTGAAGAGGGAGGCATAGGGATGTAATGCATGGACAACTTGTTAATAAAATAGCAAGGGATGGGCAGTGCCAATTTATTAGTTGTTTAATTTGTGAGACGGATGATTTTATGGTGGTATATCTTAAAAAAGTACTGAGTTCCCACAGGCCTGGGTTCAAGTTGCACCTGCTTTGGAGGTGTGTCATAACATGTCTGAATATGTCGATTTAAAAATATCCAAAAGCTAAGTTCTAAACACAAAATAAAATAATAAGGGAAGAAGGATCCCTTCAAACCTTGGGATCCTACATCTAGAAGGATCTGTATAGGATGAGGAATCACTGATTCCAACCCTGTGGTGTTGAGTCCTCGCTGCTGCTGTCCTAGTTCCCTGGGTCATGACAAGTCAATTCTGACATAAACAGTGGTGGTAGTCAGCATAAACTGTACTGTACGTTAAAGCTTTGCCGTATAGGTAAAAAGGAAAAAGTGAAATAATTCCAGCTGAAACTAAACCTGTATAAGTGTTGGAAAATGGGTGAAAACAGCAGGTGTAAGACAATGATGACAGTTATTGTTCCAAGCCTATATGCAGACAGCTCTGGATATTAATTGATTGATGACGACCTAGCGACAGAGTCATCATCCAAGAGCACTCTAAGCACCCAAGCTCTTTTTTAGTGGTAGAGGAGAGAAGCAAAAGTGGCCTGAACAAATGCTTGTCTCTCCACTGCCCATTTGGATTGGCAAAGTCAAAGGACAATTCTCAAAGCAATGAAACTGCAACAGGCAAGAAAACACAAACATCTAACTTTGCTTTGAAGGATAAATTCTGAAAATAATCTATTGGAACACAAGAGTTTCAGTGACAACAGATACCCCCAAAGATGACAGAACACAACGCTGGCTGCACCTTCTATCAGTTGGGTAGACCTCTGCATAAACAATGCCTCTCCAGTTGCAGCTTCATAGTGTTGGTTTTATGTGAAGAAGGCTATCATTACAAAACTTTCCAGTCTGCCAATCAACCATACATTACATCTGAATATCATGGAGTTAATCAATCAGTCATTCTTCAAGAAAATTAACTCTGTCAAATGCAACCCATCCTTGGTTAACCAGTAAATTTTTACATATCCACCAATTTTAATTTTAGTAAGAGATTTGCCGATACAATTAATATTTTTAACACTGCATGGAACATGGTTTCTTAATGGTTTTTCTTCCTCCTACTGCACAGTTACCTTTGGGTCCCCAAACCTTTATCTAAACCTACCCTTTATCTAAACGTGACCTTGGCCTCTTCCTTTTTCTCCTCTGTGGGCTGTCTTTTGCTGACATCATCTGAAAGTTATAGAATCAGCTTCGACATGTATGCTGACAATTCCCAGTCCTACCCCCCTCTAATTCTAAATTCTAAAATGACACTGTTTGTCTGACATCCACTACTGGATAAGCAGATATTGAGACTGAAGCTATCATCTTCAGTTTCAGTCACCAACTCTGTTCCCTAACCAATGACTCTTATCTCTCTCTGGCACCTGCTCAAAGCTAAATCAGTCTGTTGTGAACATTTATGTAATTATTTCCTCTGAGATGAGCTTCTGAGCACACATGGCACCAATATGAAACTGTCTATTTTTAATGTTGAAACATTGCCCAATTCTGCCACCTCAGCTCATTTGTTGCTGAAACCCATTTTCATATCTTTGTTACCTCTAGACAAGATGACTGGACTCTCTTATTCTGTTGTTCATAAATTTGAGGTCAAGTACTGTTCACTCCTCACCACTGTGCTCATTGATCTCCCAGTTAATCCACACCTCAATTTTAAAGTTCTTATCCTTGAAATTAAATTCTTTTTGTAATTTCTACACTCTCTAGGTGTGTAAGCTTTCCAGCCCTACAACCCCACTGATACCTGAGCTCCTCTAATTCAGACTTCTTGTGCATCTTGGATTGATGACTGCCATGAGCTGTCCAGGCCCTTAACTCTGAAATTTCTACCATACAATACTTCACTTCTACCTTGTTTTCCTCTTTACAATCCTTCTTAAAGATTTGCTCTTTGATTAAATTTCTGGTCAGTGTTGTTATGTTACCTTATGTGCCTTGGTGTCAAATGTTGCTTGATAATGATTATAATTGTTATGAAGAGGTGTATATTTAATGTTGCTTGGATAACATAAATATTGAAGGATTGTTAAAAATTTATTTCTTTCAAGTTTTGGGGAAGTATCTAGAATGGTTTCTTTAAATGAAGTGTTGAAAGTTCTCAGTGCACATTTGGGAATGTTGTTTTGATGTTTCCTGCCAATAATGTGACTGATATCTGCTAGCTATATTGTATACTCTCCCTAGGGCTGTTTGAACAGTGACTAGCTTGATGAGGTTCTTGTTTTATCTGGTTGAATTGGAAGAAACCCTGTTAAGAATGAGCCGCATTGAAGGAACACTTTCTATGAACAAGCTGATCCAGCTGATCTTTCTTTTCTCTAAAATGAAAACTCTTTGTTGTGTTTAATGTGAAATCTATTTGTTCTTTTGAAAGAGTGAAGGAACATTCTAAGGTTGTAGCTACTGAGCAAAACTGTGTTTGCAAGCCTTCAGAAACAATTGTGTATGATCAGTAATTTGACCACATATGCTAGAATATCAGACCAGCAGCCTCTGGAACATTTTGCACTTTTATCCTTTTGCTTTCAAAAATAACTCATTGACCAAAGATATTTTTTCGGAAAACTAATCTCTGCAGATAATTGTTTTTTCTCCCTTTTTCTGAAGAAGGTATGTGTGTGCGTTTACATGTAGCTCTTCAGGAATATTTAGAGATGATACTTCTGTAATACTTTTATATTACTGACTTAATTATTTCATCTTCATTGAATAAGCTTTGTTTGTCTAATAAATCAATATTTTGTTTGTTGAGAAACCTGGTTGTTAGACAGAATTTTTAAAACATGATTTTAAAGGTACTTAATTGGTCATCTTGATAACAGGAAAAAGTATTTTTATTTCCTGTTGTGATCCAAGAATAATGAAACTAGAGTGAGAGTGTACTGTTCCAGTCTCTGTCACAATGTGGTTGTTTTTAAAAAAAGTACTTTTAATCAACTTGTTTGGACATGTATCTACCCAGTTTGGAAGGGCAGCTTGCAGGGGCAGTGGATATTGTTGCAATGTTCTCATGCCCCTCCAGTTGTAATCCTCCATATAAACATTTCTTAAAATTTGATAAAGCATTCAACTCAATATTTTTGGTCAGCATATTTTTCCAATAATGCAAATAGCACCTGTGTTGTAACCAAAATAAAAGTAGTCTCTTGCTGAAAACAATCAATACACCTTCACAAATGAATATCTGGATAGCCAAGATTGTAAAAAGAGTCTTGGTGAACTGCAGCTCCATCCAAATAAATTGAACAATGTCTAGGCACAGCAACTTATAATCAAGTGCCCAATTCACTACAAACCTGTTTCCTGTTACTGATATAGGTTAATTTCACCTCTCACACCTGTGGGCCACAAAATATTGATAAAACATAATTATGGCACAGCAGATGTTGAAGATAAAATAGCTAAGCTTGTAGGCTTTTGTGCCTTTTTAATCAATGCACTTTTTTAGCCCAGCAGCAAAGCAGGCAGCCACATTTCTTAATTGTGAGTCTGTAGATTCATAACTGTGTAAAAAGCTTTCTAGGTTTTTACTGATATGGTGTGAATTTTTCAGGCACTTGGAAGTTCAAAACAATTGTCCTTCTTTTAATTGCTTGCTCCTTTATTCCTTTCATTCTTTGTCTTTCTCTACAGTTGATGCCGAGCCTCAGGCAGAGCTGACAGGCAAACAATGACCTTCACAAGTGCAATACATATGTGTGGCTACATTAGTTTATATTCAATGCCATCATGATGTAGCTACAGTGAAACTGGTCATCACCATTTGTGAACTGATTGTGGCTGAGAAATGACCACGCAGAGCAAATTAGAGTATCACAAACTTATTGTATTAAAATCTCTCAGATTGCTTCTAATAGCTACTGGAAGATTGGTAAATGCACTTGACTCCCGGTGGCGCTGTCTTCTTATTGACCTGTTCCTTTTATAGGGGAACGCCGAGTTGTAGGTCGAGGTTGATCTTATTGCATCAGTCTCTGGAAGTGGTTGTTCAGAGGGATGAATTAGCATATGGTATATTTACACTAGTGTCATTTTGTAAGTTCCTTATACTATACATTCAGACCAAAGGAACCCTAATATATATATGTGTATATATATATATATAAAATAATTATTGAAGGAAGTACAACACAGTAAAATAAATTAAAATGCAACATTATACTTAGCAATTGAAGCAATGAATGAGTAGTTGCTATACAACCAGACTAATCCACAATATTCCGAGGTAATCAATTTCAAAAGAGCCTTGTTAGTACTTGATTGTGTCCTCTTTCACTTTAAGTATCTAATGATCGCTCAAAAGGTAAGTTGTTATTTACATTCAGTCAAGCTGCTTGCCTCTTGATGGAAATAGCATGAGCTTCTCAGGCAGTAAAAGTCTTATACTGCACAAAGTAAAGCACAATTAAAGAAATATTTGATAGCCTTTTCTTGACTGTATGTGAAGCAGAGCCCTTTGCTGGGCAGGAAAATTTGGAGATGTAGACAGGAACTTTACATAGAATATGCCATGTCTAAAACCTTAGGTTGAGAAGAACAGCGTTTAAAGGTGTCTCTTGTCGAAGTTGTCAGCTTAGTCTTTGTAATTTTACACTTGCTTTTGCCTCCATTGTAGATTTCTACTACAGACACGTGTCCAATGAAATTTCTTTCAGCACAAAGGAATGCAAGAAAAGGGCCACCTGAAAAATGTCGAAGTGTATCTGTTTGTTCAACAGACAAGACTTGTGTGGACTGGCTCTCGAAGAAGTCATTTGCATATCTCCAGGTATAATGCTTTTAAAGAAAATATAGCAATGAGCAGAAGTAATAATAGCTGGATGCACACAAAGAAACCACATTAAAGTGCCGCAAGTAGTTCAGAGATTTGGACAATCATATTCTACTGACCCTGGTCCTGTGGTGCATTTGAAGCTCCAGGTGCAAGAACTGTGTTATGTATGATTGTGACATATAGGGGAGAGTTCTTCATTGGGCTGGTTTATTGATATGCTCCTGTACAGAATGGAACTGCATTTGTGACTATGTGTATATATACAAAAAATTTTTTTATGAATAAAGTATATTTTTCAAAAGATTTAATCATAAGAAATTCTCATACTGATCATCATCTTGCTAGAAGATTTTACAGTTGGCATTCACTGCTCTATATGGCTTTGGACTACATTGTGAAGATGTATGTTTTGTAAACCGTTTAAAAAATGTAAAACTGCAGTGAATATGAATCTTGCTTCCATCTTTACGAGTTATTTTATGCCTGTATTTTAATATAATCTCAATGCTGCTGTAGTGCATTTGTTACTTTCCTCTGTAGCTTCTTGATTAAATTTGGGACATGCTATTTTAGCCAGTCAAACTGATTTAAATAGCACTTTTCATCTTAATTATTATGCATTTCCTGAGGGTGCTCAATAAAGTAGAAATGATTGGTAGCTGAAAATTATAATCTGATTCCACATGAAATAATTGTTCAAAATATTCACAGTCTTGTGTTAGATGAGTCTCAGTCAAAGCAGGGTATTTAGCAATTTAACTGTTTCACTTTATCATATATTCTTTACCTAATTTAAATATAATGACTGCTTCACAGTTGGTCTTGTGATGAATGCTTTCTAAGATGTAATATCAGTCATGGTGCTTAAATTTGATGAGAGAAACACTAAATTAGTTGGTGAGATTGTTGTTTTCAACTGTTAATGTTTACTTCTGCTTGAAAGACTCAAGTTTCATAACCGCCCTCATTAAAGTCCTAGTTATTTTAGATACTTTCTGTAGTTGCCATAAGTGTGATATGAACATTTAATTTTTTTTGAAGTAACTAAATTATTTATATTCCATGGAGAAGTATTTTAAAATGACATTTTTCAAGTGAGATATGTTGTACAAAATTTATAAACCATCTGAAATATAATCCAATAATCTCACAAAAAATTGGAGCTATACTTGTCTTAAAAGATTTAATCTAATTCAGAGGCAGTTCATCCCAAGTTTAACAGATGGCAAACTGTAATTTTCATTTGTACGCTCTTACTACCACTGTCTACAGAATATTGCACCATTACATTTTACATACTGCTTGTCTGAACTCTTGGATAATTTTGAATCAACTTGTTCAAAGATGTTATGACTAGTGGAGTTCTGCAGGGGTCAGTGTTGGGACCACAAATATTCACATTGTACATTAACAATCTGGATGAAGATACTGAAGGTATTGTTGCTAAATTTGCAGATGCATAGAGATAGCTGGAGAGACAAGTAGTGTTGAAAAAGCAGAGAGGCTGCAGAAGGACTTGTACAGGCTAGAGCAGTGGGCAAATAAGTGGCAGTTGGAATACAATGTGGGAAAGTGTGAGGTTGTGCACTTTGGTAGGAAGAATAGAGACATAGACTGTTTTCTAAATGGAGAAAGGCTTTAGAAATCTGAAGCACAAAGGGATCTGGGAGTCCTAGTTCAGGACTCTCTTAAGGTTAACATGCAGGTTCGGTCTGCAGTTACAAAGGCAAATATAATGTTATCATTCATTTTTCAGACGCTAGCATACAGGAGCAGGGATATACTGCTGGGGCTGTATAAGGCCCTCATGAGACTATAGTTGAAATATTGTGAGCAGTTTTGGGTCCCATCTCTAAGGAAGGATATGCTGGCCTTGGAGGGCGTTCAGAGGAGTTTCACAAAAATGATCCTGGGAGTGAAGGGCATATCATATGAGGAGTGGTTGAAGACTCTGGGTTCGTATTCAGTGGAGTTTAGAAGGATGAGGGGGATCTCAGTGAAATTTGGATAATACTGAGAGGCCTGGTAGAGTGGATGTGGAGAAGATTTTGTCAGGGGTAATTCTGAAAGATAGGATTTATATGCATTTGGAGAGACAAGGAATGATTAGGGATAGTCAGCATGGTTTTATGTGAGGGAGGTCATGTCTCACAAACGTAATTGACTTTTTGGAGGAAGTAACCAAAGGGATTGATGAGGGCAGAGCGGTAGATATAGTTTACTTGGACTTTAGTAAAGCCTTTGATGCATGGTAGACCAATTAGTAAAGTTAGATCACATAAGATTCAGGGTGTGCTTCCCAATTGGATACAAAATTGGCTTAATGGCACGAGACAGAGAGTGTTGGTAGAGGGTTGTTTTTCGGACTGGTTTTCCACAAGGATAGCTGCTGGGTCCACTTTTGATGGTCATTTACATAAATGATTTAGATGAGAATAGAAAAGGCATGGTTAATAAGTTTGCAGATGACACCAAAATTGGTGATATGGTGGACAGTGAAGAAGGTTATCTAAGATTACAAAGAGATCTTGATCGATGGGGTTAGTGGGCTGAGGAGTGGCAGATAGAGTTTAATTTGGATGAATGTGAGATATTACTATTTGGTAAAACAAACAAGGGCAGGACTTATACAATTAAAAGTAGGACCTTGGGTAGTGTTGTATAACAGAGAGACCGGGGTGCACGTATGTAAGTTTTTGAAGTTTGCATCACATGTAGACAGGGTGATTAAGAAGGTATTTAGCATATTTGTCTTCATTGCTCAGACCTTTGACAATAGGAGTTAGGAAGTCACAAAGAGGTTTTACAAGATATTGTTGAGGCCTCTTTTGGAGTACTGTGTCTGTTTCTGGTTGCCCTGTTATAGGAAGAATATTATCAAGTTGGAGAGGGTTCAGAAAAGATTCATCAGGATGTTGCCAGGAGTGGAGAGTTTGAATCATAGGAAGAGGCTGGATAGGCTGTGACCTTTTTCACTGAAGTGTAGAAGGTTGAGGGGTGATATTATAGAGTTTATTTTTAAATCATGAGAGGCATAGTTAAGATGAATGGCAGTACCTTTTCCCAATGATGGGGATTTCAAGACTAAGGGGCATATTTTTAAGATGAGAGGAGAAAGATTTTAAAAAGGACATGAGGGGCAACTTTTCTTACACAGAGAGTGGTTCATATGTGGAATGAACTTTCAGAGGATGTTGTGGACGCAGGTACATTTACAATGTTTGAACGACATTTGGATAAGTAGACGAATGAGAAAGGTTTGGAGGGATATGGGCCAAGCACGGGCATGTGGGACTAGTTTAGCTTGGGATTATGTTTGGCATGGGCTGGTTGGACTGAAGGGTCTGTTTCCGTACTCCATGACTCTATGACTGTATGTTTCCAATAATAGTAGAGAGCAGGACCAGAGGGCGTAGCCTCAGAGTGAGGGGATAACCCTTTAAAACTGAGATGAGGAGAAATTTGTTCAACTAGAAGGTGGTGAATCTGTGGAACTCCTTGCTACAGAAGGCTGTGAAGGCCAAGCCATTGAGTGTGTTCAAAACAGAGATGGAAAAGTTCTTAATTGATAAGGGATCAAATGTTATGAGGAGAAGGTGGAGAATGGGGTTCAGAAACATAACCTGCCAATATTGAATGGCAGAGCAGGCTCAGTGGACCAGATGGTCTAATTTCTTTGCTAAATCTAATGGGCTTATGGTCTTATTAAGACAGCTCTGGAGCAGTGGAACCTGAACCTGGGCCTCCAGGTTCAGAGGATAGGACCCTACTACTATGCTACAAGAGTTGTTCTGGAAGTCTTTTTTTAAAATCAATGTTTTCAGAGATGTTATTATCCACCTCTGCAGCAGGTGACTGTTGAACCTGGGCGTCTTTGCTCAGAGAAAGAGATACTACCACCGCACCATAAGAGCCCCTCTAAAAAAATCTGTTAGATTGAATATTTTAATTTTAATCAGAAGTAGTAGTAACACTACCTTTTCTGAATCAGAAAGCTTTGGGATTAGGCCCCACTCTAAAGTTTTAAACATTATCTAGGTGACATTCTCGTGCACCAATGAGTAGGTGTTAATTTTGGAGATACTTACTTTTAGAGGAGAGTGCAAATGGAGGTAAAGCATCCTTTGACATAATTCAGAGCAGTACAGGAGAGCTTTGGTGATCTGAGCAATATGTGTTTCTCATTAAGCTCTACAAAATCAAAATCTGATTGTTGGTGGGATCTTGCTGTGAGTATATTGACTGTCATGTTTACCCACATACAACAATAATTATGACCCTGATTTTAAAAGGTATGTATGGTACCCTTGAACACCAACACATTTTTGTGTGATAAACTTTTACGTTATTTTGATAAAAGCATGGCAGTCTCTTGGTGAGCATGCTTAGTGACCAACCACCACAGTAAAAAAAAAACAGCAAAATTCAAACTTTGGTCCCATGCAGGACCCTGAATTGTACAGTATGACTCTCAGCTGGGATCACAACAGTGGGAATAGATCTAGATCAGATATGATTGTCAATTTGTATCGTTTTATTGCAGTAGTTTAAATACTGTAAAATTGAAGGACATCTTTCAATTGACTGATTTAATTTTGTCTTGACTTTCCATTGTATTGGTTCATAGACATAGTCATTCCATTTTTTTGGAACGTCATTGTAATTGGAGACATGGAGGTTTACGGAGTCTTATTTCCATAAATGTTCTGAATCTTGGCCAAATATGGCAATTCCACTACCTAACTAGTACAGAAGATTGGAGAGGCAAGGAATGGTGAGGGATAGTCAACGTGGTATTGTACAAGGGAAATCACATCTCACAGACTTGATTGAGTTTCTTGAGGAAGTAACCAAAAAGATTGATGACATCAGAGTGGTAGATGTTGTTTACTTGGACTTTAGTAAAGCCTTTGATAACATTCCGTATGGTAGTAGAATGTAGTATGGTATTAGTGAAGTTAGATCACATGGGTGAGCTTACCAATTGGATACAAAATTGGTTTAATGGCAGGAGACAGGGAGTGGTGATGGGGGATTGTTTTTCAGACTGGAGGCCTGTTACCAGTGATGTTCCACAGGGACATCTTTTGTTCAACATTTATATAAATGATTTAGATGAGAAACAGAAGGCATGGTTAGTAAGTTTGTTGATGACACCAAAATTGGTGGAATAGTGTACAGTAAAGAAGGTTATCTAAGATTACAAAGAGATCTTGATTGACTGGATCAATGGTCTAAGGAGTGGCAGATGGAGTTTAATTTCGCTAAATGTGAGGTATTGCATTTTGGTGAAACAAACAAGGGCAGGACTTATACAATTAATGGTAGGGTCTTGGGTCGTGTTGTATAACAGAGAGACCTAGGGGTTCAGGTACGAAATTCTTTGAAATTTGCAACACAAATGGGTGGTTAAGAAGGCACTTAGCACACTGGCCTCCATTTCTCAGACTTCTGAGAATAGGAGTTGGGACGTCATGTTGAGATTGCACAGGATGTTGGTGAGGCCTCCTTTGTAGTACTTATGTCCCATTCTGCTTGCCCCGTAATAGGAAGGCTATTATCGAGCTGGAAGGGGTTCAGAAAAAGATCTGCCAGGAATGGAGAGTTTGAGTTATAGGGAGAGACAGAGAGACATACAGCACGAAAACAGACCCTTCGATCCAACTCATCTATGCTGACCAGATATCCTAAATTAATCCAGCCCCATTTGCCAGCATTTGGCCATATCCCTCTCAACCCTTTCTGTTCATATATCCATCCAAATATCTTTTAAATGTTGTAATTGTACCAGCCTCCATCTCTACCTCTGGTAGTTCGTTCCATAACACCCTCTGCGCGAGAAAGTTGTCCCTTAGGTCCCTTTTAAATCTTTCCCCTCTCACCTTTAGTTTTGGACTCCCCTATCCTGGGGAAAAGACCTTGACAGTTCATCCTATCTATGCCCTCATGACTTTATAAACCTGTATAAGGTCACCCCTCAGCGTCCGATGCTCCAAGGAAAATAGCCCCAGTCTATTCAGTCTCTCCCTATAGCTCAAACTCCCCAACGCTGGCAACATCCTTGTAAATCTTTTCTGAACCCTTTCAAGTTTCACAATGTCTTTCCTATAGCAGGGAGACCAGAATTGCATGCAGTATTCCAAAAGTGGCCTAACCATTGTACTGTATAGCCGCAACATGACATCCCAACTCCTATACTCAATTCAGGTAAGTGTACCAAACACCTTCTCAACTCTGCTTACCTGCGACTCCAATTTCAAGGAACGATGAGCTTGCACTCCAAGGTCTTTGTTTGGCAACTCTCCCTAGGACCATATCATTAAGTGTGTAAGTCCTGGCCCGATTTGCTCTACCAAAATATAGCACCTCACATTTATCCAGTTTAAACTCTATCTGCCACTCCTCGGCCCATCAGCCCATCTGATCAAGGTGTACTCTGAGGCAACCTTCTTCACTGTCCACTGCACCACCAATTTTGGTGTCTTCTGCAAATTTATTAACCATTATTTCTATATTCACATTTTAAATCATTTATATAAATGACAAAAAGCATTGGACCCAGCACCGATCCCTGTGGCACATCGCTGGTCACAGGCTTCAAGTCCGAAAAGCAGCCCTCCGCCATCACCCTCTGTCCCGTACCTTCTAGCCAATTTTATATCCAGATGGCTAGTTCTCCCTGTATTCCATATGATCTAACTTTGTTAACCAAATAGGCTGGGACTTTTTTTCACTGGGGTGTGGGAAGTTGATGTGTGACCTTATAGAGGTTTTTGAAATCATGAGGGGTATAGATAAGGTGATTAGCAGGTGCCTTTTCCCTATGATGGGGATTTCAAGCCAAGGGGGCATATGTTGAAGGTGAGAGGAGAAAGATTTCAAAATGGATGCGAGAGGCAGCTTTTTTACACAGTGATTCATGTGTGGAATGAAGTTATAGAGGAAGTGGGGAATACAGGTAAATTTACAACATTTGAAAAACATTTGTACATGAATTAGAAGGGTTTGGAGGGATCTGCGCCAAGCGCAGACAGGTGGAACTAGTTTAGTTTGGAATTATGTTTGGCATGGACTGGTTGGACCGAAGGGTCTGTCTCCGTGCTGTATGACTCTAAAGGAAGAGCCATTTGGTTGACAGATGATCAAACCAGGGATCAATCAGGTTTCGGGCCAGTCAGATATGTGGTAGGTTGAAGGTGTAATTGGACAAATCCCAAATATGTAGGAGGAATAAAATAGCTTTCAAAACCCTCTTCAGTCCTTAGTCTGATTTTATTTTTGAATTTGCAGTTCAGTGTAGAAGTGCTACTGCTTAAAAATTTGTGCATAGACAGTCTATAGTTTTTAAATATCTGGGGTTTTTTTTGCAGGATAAAGCAGATAAAGAATCCTTGGAAGTTAGTGCTCTTTGTCAGCCCTTGTATGATGTGGAAGAATGCTTTATCAAGGTAATGTTAATTTTTAACCATTATGAATTTGCATAGCAAAACATAGATCAGGAAAGTTATATTAAAATTTTCCATTGTTACCATGCTGCTATCCTATATTGGTTTCCTGATTTCTGTAGTTATATATTCCCTCATCGCATCAACTGTATGTGGACAGCTCCCTAGAGTCTCACTTGCTTTCTCCTATCCATATTATTTCAGCTGCCTAACTGTCCTTCGTGAAATGCTTTATTAAGTTCCCTTGGAGTGCTGGAAGCAGTATTGGTATAGGACAGTAAATCTCTGTATTTGTCTTCACAGAATTACGCCGCATTTGGGGTCCTAGCAGAAAGGATAACTCAAACCATAGGAAGGATTTTAAGCATTCAGAAGGGGAAATGAAGTGACTAGATGCAAAGAAGTGATTTCTGTTTTTAACCTGTGCATGATTAGTGACAACAAAATAACCTGGTAAAACAAAGACAATATGGAAATATATTTTATTTCCTGACCACAGATAATCAAACCAAGGATCAATCAAGTTTCGGGCCAGTCAGATATGTGGAGGTTGAAGGTGTAATTGGACAAACCCCAAATGTGTAGGAGAAATAAAATAGCTTTCAGCACTTCTACACAGACCTGACTACAAGTTGGAGATAACTGAGACCAGTGCATTCCATACATTGGAATCTTCAGAAAGAACATGGAAAGTAGGAAAGGAGTAGTACTTCCAATATTGATAAAAGACACAATTATGGCAGTAGAAATGTTTTCCTAAAGGTAACCAGGCAATAGAAACACTAGGTAGAACTAAGAAACACAAAAGATGCAATATTTTAATGGGAAATTGAAAATTTGTAGATGCTGGGTTAATTTAAGTTATTTGTTATTAATTGATATTTGTTAGCGAAGAGTTTCAAGGAAAATTAATCAAAGGCAGATGAAGGGTGTTGCGGTGCAGATCAGCTATGATCTTCTTGAATAATGAGTACAAGCTAAATCTGCTATTCCTAAGATAATTTGATCTAACAGGTCTTCTCTTTTGTTGTCTGTTATAAAATTCACATCCATATGTGTTACATATTTCCCACCTGTACAAATGTGATAACTGTCGATTTTGAACAGCAACTTTGTTATTTCATTTTTATTCAGCATTTTTCCTGTTCTGATTTTAATTAGGAATTGGATAAGTATATAGCCTATAAGGAGATGCTAAACTTGAGGAAGAAAGAACTACTGTACAAGAAATGGAATGACTACATCTATGAACCAATACAGTGGAAAATCAAGGCAAAATTAAATCAGTCAGTTGACAAAAGACGTCCTGCAGTTTTACAGTATTTAGACTACTGCAATAAAAAGGTAAAATTGACAATCATATCTGATCTATATCTATTTCTATCATTATAATCCCAGCTGATAGTAATACTGGACAATTTAAGGCCAAGCATGGGACTGAAGTATGATTTTTGCTGTTCGTTTACTGTGGTATAGAATCCCCACAATGTGGAAGCAGTCTATTGGCCCATTGAGGCCACACTGACCTTCCAAAAAGCATCCCACACAGACCCATCTCCCAACCCTATATTTCTCACAGTTAATCTGCCTAGCCTGCACGTCACTGGACACTATGGGGCAATTTAGCACAGCCAATCCACCTAACCTGCATACCTTTGCACCAGGAGAGGGAATCAGAGCACACAATGGAAACCCGTGCAGACATGATGAGCATGTGTAATCTCCACACAGTCACCAGAGGTTGGAATTGAACCTGGGTCTCTGGTGTTGTCAGGTAGCAGTGCTAACTGCTGAGCCACCGTGCACTACCCACCCCAACCACTGAGCCAAAGTTTATCCATCTTACCACAGTCCTTTTGGTGTAATGATCCTTTTAGCTTGATCTTTTTGACAGTTCAGGTTTATTATTCCAATGGAACTACCATTCTGCTCACTATAGGAATATAGCCATTCAGTCCCTCTAGCCTGCTCTGTCATCCACTTGGATCATGTCTGCTCTATACCTCAGCTCCATTGACCTGCTTTGATTCCATAATTCTTGATATCAGATATCATAGGACTTTCAAGGGATGGGTAAATAGTGACTAAGAGCAGAAACCTTTGTTGACTGTTCTGCCTCACCCAAGGTCAATAATGGTAGCTGTAGTCCCAGTTCTGGGCTCTGTGTTGAGTTAGATGATGTCAAGCAGTTTGAGTTTTGAGCAGTTAAATCAGACAAGGTGCTTCTCCTGATCATGCTCTGGTGATCCATCTTTAAAGTCTTTGTCTGTGGCTTCCAACTCTTTTCTGGTCAAACTCCCATCTTTGTGTCTCCCTAACTGCTGTTGCTCCTCTCACCCTTCACCATGAATTTGGCCACCTATCACAGCATGGATTCACTGTTCCACATCAGCTCACAATCCAGCAAATTTGAAATCCACAACCTTGCGCTCAAACCCAGGGTCTCACACTTTCCCCAGCTCTGTAACCTCCTCCAACCCTAACAGCCTCTGAGATCTCTGTGCTCATTTAATTATGTCCCGTTGCACATATCCGATTTACATGGTTGATCATTGAAAATATCCACCAAGAGATTGCCAGTGTGTTTTTAACAAAAGGACATGAACGTTTATTGCAAAAAAGTAAAGACATCTAACCATACTATATTATACAATGCTATTTGAGAGTTATCAGAAATATCAAAGCTAAAGGTGCAAAGCTTTTACCCTCCACAACAATCTTCAAGATATTCAAACTTGTGAAAGGTCATCCCGACTCCAACTTAAAGTTCTTTGTTCAGTTGACATATGTGTAATTGAATTATGCTTGCTGACTTCTAACCACTTTCAGAGCAAATAGGTGGTGTTCCATACCCTCAACATTCAACAGTTTTCTTCTATAGCACAAAATTTTTTCCCCCTAGCCCTGACTGTTTTAGCGACTGCTAGCTAACAACCTTTGTTCTCTGATTTAACCTGACCTTCTGGATGGTTCTATCTTTCTCTAATACCAGACAACAGTTTTATTTTGCTATTCACTTTTATCCCTAATACACTGAACTGTTTACCTCAATCTCTACAAGGCTGTAATCCTCATTAAACATGCAATTATCAATAAACTTCAGGCATCCTGTCGCCACTCTCACAAGAAATTTAAAATGAAACTAAAAATATCTCTGCCCTTAAAGCAGACAGTATTTAAATACAAAATAAACTTGGAAAAAGGCGGTTTCTCCACCTTAAAACCCAAGTTTCCAAATAGTAGTAACATATCATGAACCTTCACGCTATAATGTAACTTTCATATGCATAAATGTTAAACTATCTTTTAATAGGAACCTGTGTTTTTGGAAGAATATAACCCAGATGACTTCAATCCATTCGTCCGCCATCTGTGCAAGCCTCATACATTTAAGGTATATTTTGTGTGATTTTTACAGCGCTTAGTTCTTGAAGGAACAGTTGTACCACTATATATGTTTATTGCTAGTATAACATGAAACTGCATCATATAAGTTCTTTGAGATGGTGACCAAACAGGTGGATGAGGGTAAAGCAGTTGATGTGGTGTATATGGATTTCAGTAAAGCATTTGATAAGGTTCCCCATGGTAGGCTATTGCAGAAAATACGGAGGCATGGGATTGAGGGTGATTTAGCGGTTTGGATCAGAAATTGGCTGGCTGTAAGAAGACAGAGGGTGGTGGTTGATGGGAAATGTTCATCTTGGAGTTCAGTTACTAGTGGTGTACCTCAAGGATCTGTTTTGGGGCCACTGCTGTTTGTCATTTTTATAAATGACCTGGATGAGGGCGTAGAAGGATGGGTTATTAAATTTGCGGATGACACTAAAGTTGGTGCAGTTGTGGATAGTGCGGAAGGATGTTGCAGGTTACAGAGGGACATAGATAAGCTGCAGAGCTGGGCTGAGAGGTGGCAAATGGAGTTTAATGCAGAAAAGTGTGAGGTGATTCACTTTGGAAGGAGTAACAGGAATACAGAGTACTGGTCTAATGGTAATTTTCTTGGTAGTGTGGATGAGCAGAGAGATCTCGGTGTCCATGTGCATAGATCACTGAAAGTTGCCACCCAGGTTGATAGCGTTGTTAAGAAGGCGTACGGTGTGTTAGGTTTTATTGGTAGAGGGATTGAGTTTCGGAGCCATGAGGTCATGTTGCAGCTGTACAAAACTCTGGTGCGGCCGCACTTGGAGTATTGCGTACAGTTCTGGTCACCGCATTATAGGAAGAATGTGGAAGCATTGGAAAGGGTGCAGAGGAGATTTACCAGGATGTTGCCAGGTATGGAGGGAAGGTCTTATGAGGAAAGGCTGAGGGACTTGAGGCTGTTTTCGTTCGAGAGAAGAAGGTTAAGAGGTGACTTAATAGAGACATACAAGATGATCAGAGGATTAGATAGGGTGGACAGTGGGAGCCTTTTCCCTCGGCTGGTGATGGATAGTACGAGGGGACATAGCTTTAAATTGAGCGGTGATAGATACAGGACAGATGTCAGAGGTAGGTTCTTTACTCAGAGAGTAGTAAGGGCGTGGAATGCCCTGCCTGCAAAAGTAGTAGACTCGCCAAACTTAAGGGCATTTAAATGGTCATTGGATAAACATATGGATGATAATGGAATAATGTAGGTTAGATGGGCTTCAGATTGGTTTCACAGGTCGGCGCAACATCGAGGGCTGAAGGGCCTGTACTGCACTGTAATGTTCTATGTTCTATGTTCTATGTACTTACAATCTATTTCAGAAAGCAATTTATTCACTTTAATGGCATATTTTAATTTTCAGATTGGAAGACTACACTGTTGACGGTTTGGTTTACTAAAATTGCTTTTCAATGGTGTAGCATATTTTCCTGATTCTATTCAAAGAAAATCTCCAGTTGTACAAAATATGGATTCAGGATTAATTCTTGGATATGATATGCAGAAGCCATCAATCACCATACTTTATATATTTGAAATATATATTTCAAATTATTTTAACTAGACATTAAAATGAACATTTGCTGTGAATTGATTCTATATGATATGCTTAGCATTTAAATTATGTTTTTGAAAATTAACTGGTGACTCCCTTAATGTTATCACCCTAACTTAGCCTCATGGATTTCTCCTATATGTATCTATTGGCTTAAGTTTGGGCTTCAAAAAAATTGTGGACATGTAATTATTTTTGTCTATGCATCTTTTCCTTAATGACATAAATATTGAGGGTTACTTTGTTGATTATATGGTCATAGAGCAATTACAGTATAGCCATTCGACCTGTTTTGTCTGTGCTTGCTTTCTGTAACTCCACTAGCCCCATTACCCGACATTTTCCCTGCAGTTGTGTGCATGCTTTGTACTTGGATGAATATCTAATTTCCTTTTGAAAGCCACAATTGAATCTGCCTCTGCCATACTGTCAAATAGTGTTTTCCAGATCGTAACCATACACATTTTAAAAAATTTGCAGACTGGGTGACCACTTTGCTGAACACCTATGTTCTGCAAAAATGATCCCAAGCTTCCAGCTGCCTGCCACTTCAACGCAATATCGCGTTCTCACACCAAAATGTTTGGCACAACCTGCTGCAGTGTTCCAGCGAGCCTCAGCTCAAGCTCAAAGAACAGTGTCTAATTTTCCCCTTGGAGACTCTGTAGCCTCCAGGACTCAACACTGAGTGCAATAAATTTACAGTCTGGTTCTGTCTTTCCTTTTTTTCATGCATGCCACACCCAGTCATGTTATGACATGGATTACTTTTAGCATAGTCACCCATTCTCACCTACTCCCAGGCTTATTATCACATGATACGGGTTGCTTTCAGTACAGGCCACCCATTCTCTCCTACTGTTAATAATATTATCACTTATTCAGCTTTTCTTATGTCTTGGCCTCCTATCCACAATCTCCTTGTCTACCTACCCCACCTACCTGCTCATCTCTTTACTCCCCCACAACTTCACCATCAGCATAAATACCACTTTTTCCTAGTTGCTAACGGTTCTGATGAAGAGTCACCAGATTCGAAAAGTTAACTCTGTTTTCTTCCCACAGATGCTACCAGACCTGATGAGTTTCATCAGCAATTTCTGTTTTTGTTACAGATGTCCAGCAATCGTAGTTCTTTGTCTTTTTTGAAAATGCCTTATTTACTTTGCCTATGCTGCTTATGATATTGAACACAACTGTCAAATTTCCTCTCAACCTTCTTCAAAGTGAACAGATCTGGCTTATTTAAAAAAAAACAAAGAAGTGTCACTGGACCTGAAATGTTAGCCTTGCTTTCTCTCCAAGATGCTGCCAGACCTGTTGAGTTTCTCCAGCAATTACTGTTTTTGTTTTGGCTTTTTTAATCTGTCCATGTAATGGAAGTCCCTGGAACCCTTCTTGTAAATCTTTTCTGTACACTTCTTCCTAAAGTTTACTGCTAGAACTGGACTCAACACTTGAGACCAATACACTAGTTTATGAAAGGTCATCATAACTTCTCTGTTTTTGTACACTGTTCTATTTATAAAGCCCAATATTCTTTGTGCCTTATTAACTACTTTTTCATCCAGCACTGCTGCCTTCAGTGAATTGTGCATAAAACTACTAATCATTCTCCTGCATTACTGCACATCTGAATGTTGACATGCTTGCATTTGTCCTGAATTATGATGATTCTTCCAACCTGTTCCTAATCACCAATGCTGTTAAATAGGGCTGTGTGCTGGTGTTGCTCTCTTCAGCCTGGTTTTCTATGTCAGGCTGTCTGATGTTTTGCATGATAGTGATGCTGACTTCAAAATCAGATATAATGTGGGTGGGAAGCAGTTCAGTTGGAGATGACTCCTGGAAAGGACTGTGTTAAACTTCACAATTTCCTATTTACACATGGCTGCGCAATTTGCCAGTTTAGGATTGGACATACACTGCAACCTGGACTTGTTTTTCAACGCTTACAACAACATTGATTTTACATTCAGTATGAAAAAATACTTGGAATAATGTAACATCCTTCTCCAGGAAAATCCTATCTTGAGCCCAAGAATATAATCAATCAGCTGAATCTGTCACTAGCGGCTATAGAGTCATAGAATTTTACAGCACGGAAACAGACCCTTCGGTTTAACTCATCCATGCAGATCAGATGTCCTAAATTAATGTAGCTTCATTTACCAGCATTTTGCCCGTATCCCTCTAAACTCTTCCTATTCGTATACCCAACCAGATGCCTTTTAAAAACTGTTATAGTACAAATCTCCACCATGGCAGCTCATTTCATACATGCACCACCCTCTGTGTGAAGATGTTGCCCCTTAGATCCTTTTTAAATTTTTCCCTTCTCACCTTTAAACCTATGCCTCTAGTTTTAGACTCCTATGCCCTGAGAAAAAGACCTTGGCTATTCACCCTATCCATGCCCTTCATGATTTTATAAACTTGTATAAAGTCACCCCTCAGGCCTCCGATGTTCCAGGGAAAGTAGCCCCAGCCTAGTCAGCCTCTCCCTACAGCTCAAACACTCCAACCCTGGCAACATCCTTGTAAATCTCTGCACCTTTTCAAGTTTATCAACATCTTTCCTATAGCAGGGAGACCAGAATTGAATGCAGTATTTCAAAAGTGGCCTGATCAATGTCCTGTACAACCGCAATATGATATCCGAACACCTATACTCAATGCACTGACCAATAATGACAAGCATACCAAAAGCCTTCTTCACTACCCTGTCTAGCTGTGACTGCACCTTCAAGGAACTATGAACCTACACCCCAAGATCTCCTTTCTTGGAACTTCCCCAGGGCCTTACCATTAAGTGTGTAAGTCCTGCCCCGATTTGCCTTACCAAAATACAACACCTCGCACTTATCTAAATTAAACTCCATCTACCACAACTTGGCCCGTCTAATCAAGGTGTTCCCTGCGATAACCTTTACTGTCCACTACACCAATTTTGGTGTCACCTGTAAACTTACTAACCATACCTCCTCTGTTCAGATCTGATTCATTTATATAAATGACAAAAAGCAGTGGAACCAGCACCGATCCTTGCAGCACACTGCTGGTCACAGGCTTCCAGTCAGAAAACAACACTCCACCATACCCTCTGTCTCCTACCTTCGAGCCAATTTTGTATCTAAATGACTAGCTCTCCCTGTGTTTGTTGTGATTTAACCTTGCTAATCAGTCTACCATGCAGAACCTTGTCGAACGCCTTGCTGAAATCCATATAGACAATATCCACTGCTCTGCCATCATGAATCCTCTTTGTCATTTCTTCAGAAAACTCAATCAAGTTAGTGAGACACAATTTCCCACGTCCAGAGCTATGTTGACTATTCCAAATCAGTCCTTGCCTTCCCAATAAATATAAATCCTGTCCCTCAGAATCCCCTCCAACAACTTGCGCACTACTGATGTCAACTCA